AAAACACAGTAAAATGGTTAAAAAATTACCTCTTTTCTCGCACCCAAACTGTATTCACAGATGGTTGGAGGTCAAACAGTGTTAAGATAACAAAAGGGGTTCCACAGGGTTCCATTCTCGGCCCCCTCTTGTTTTCTCTTTATGTAAATGACTTGGGCACTGAACTGGATTATTCCAGGGTAAATCTTTTTGCAGATGACACGGTACTAATTACTGCTGGCCGCTCTCCGGATGACGTGATTGCTAAGCTCCAGAGTGATTTCAACAAACTACAACATCAGCTAGTTGCTCTTAAACTAGTCCTAAATCCTGCCAAAACCAAGGTGCTATGCTTCTCACCAGGACTAAAGCGGGAAGTTATTTTTCCCCAATTACATACCTTAAATAATGATCAAATAGAGCAAGTCAAGATCTATAAGTATCTTGGGGTCATCCTGGATTCAAAACTGAATTTTGAAGATCACATTGATTATATTGGGAAAAAGACAAAAATTAAAATTGGTTTTCTATATCGACACAAGCACTGCTTCCCTCCTATGTTCCGTTTGGAATTGATTAAAGCTACCGTACTGCCTCTACTTGATTACTGTGACATTGTGTATAAATCAGCCCCAAGTACTGTACTTAAGAAGCTTGACTCAATGTATCACTCGGCCTTAAGATTTGCATTGAACTGCCCATATAGGACTCACCACTGTGATCTCTACATTGGGTCAAACTTAACATCTCTGAATGTTCGACGGCTTGTGCACCAGATCTTATTTATTCATGATGTACTTGCAAAAAAATCTGCAGATTACCTGCTGGATCTCGTCTCTGTTTCAAAGAACAAATTTGACCTAAGGTCTACACTCATTTACCAGCTTAATATTCCCTATTGCCGTACATATACTGGAGGAAGGGCCTTTGCTATTGATGCCCCCAGGGTCTGGAATGCTGTTGCAAATAAATTGAAACTTGAGTCACTACCTATGAGATCTTCACTCAAAACTGCTTTAGAGGAGTTGTACACCCCTAGCTGCCAGTGCTATTCAGTGACCTAAAATAAAATGTTTCGCTCCGGATGATCGCTACAAAGTATGACCTGTGTTTTGATTTAGTGTGCTGATCTTAAAGGTGCATTGAAAAATTACAATACTCCGATTGATGCTCCTGCTGTTGTGGAGTGACTCATGCAGCCAGCTATGGCTGCAGGGTTTTGGTAGTACATGTTGTTTATGCCATTTATTGTGAAAATTCCGTCAGTTCCTATGATTGCTTTTTCATTGCCTTCATGGCTTTATTTTGGTGATTTCGAAAAGTGTATTGGTTTAGCCATGTTTGTGTTGTTGTAGTACAGAGTTAGACTGATGGCCTTAATCTAAGTTGTCTTGTGGTTGTTGTTGTTGTTTGACTTGCATCCCACTGGGATTTTTGCACACAGCGTTGGTGTACGGTGTTTTTTCTGCAATATTTTTGCTGTCTTTTCTTGGATTTTCTGTTTGCACTTAGTCACATATTCACTTTAAGATGTTTTTTTGTTCATGTTTTTGTTTTTTGTTTGTTGCGGTTGCACCCGATTCAAGAGCTGAATGGCTCACAGGGCTATACCTAATAAATGAACTTGAACTTGAACTTGAACTTGTTGAGCATGCATTTGATTGTCTATTAAAGAAGAATGGCTGATGTAAACAAATGAACGTGGATAAATAAAATAAAGTACAATTATACACAACGTAGAGTTTGTGTGTCGTTTCTAAACAAATCCAAACACAATTGCACGACGTCTCTGTCGTTGAATTACAAAAACGAGGTGTAGATGCTGCGTAAAATTCGCGTTTAGTTGAAACACACGGCGCTAGTGCAGCTAGAAAGTCGGCTTCGTACTGCGTGAACGTCGCGTGGTTTCAACGCAACACGCGTCGTTGTTGTACAATATATGAATATTCCGTGAGGACTGTGTTTTAGATAGATCACAATATGGCACCGTGTGTTCTTCGCCCTTAGCTGACAGGATGAAAAGCCACGTTGTGCCCAGGTGCTGGGTGGATTGTTTCATCACAGGAGCGCAAGAGACGGCGACGACTTGGGGAGACCTTCATGCTTGCGATGATGACCGTGATGACAGATTGAGAGATTTAGGAGATCGATTCCCAGCTCTTCCCTGTCACGTGGTAGATTTTCCAAGCGCACCAACATTTTAATTACCGAGACACCGTGGACGTTATCGTAATGATCTTTTAATCAATGTCCCCTCCTTCGACGTACGAATAGTAAAACTACACGAACCTTCTCTTGAAGCCCTTTCGTGGCTGGCAGACTTTGACATTGGTGTTTAGCTCCTGAACATATTGTCACATGCAATAGAATAATCATTATAAATACTGTACGTTTTCAAATGACCAAATCACATGGAATGTGTCAGATCTTGTTAGATCTCAGACGCTAAGCAGGTTTGATTCTGGATAGTGGTGGGATACGTGACCGCCATGCATAAAACAGGTGTTACAGGATGCTATATAGACATTGTACATATGTGTGTTGAACTTCTTTTTGACACAAATGATAGCTCAACGAAGTGTCTTATTTGGGTATATGTATTTTGAACCGTGCTAATTGGGGGTGCAGTGGAAGGACAACAAACTAAACGCAAAAAAAAACTGCTCTAAAGAAATTATTTTTCAATTTAGAAAATGAGTTTTCAATCTGTGTGCGGTTTCTTTGCGTTCTCTGTTTTTCTCCTATTTTCAAACTACTCATTCAAATGGCATTGGCTAAAATAAAAAAATCCCAAATGAACGAACCTCATGAAAGAGCCAGTCGGGCTCTCTTGGGTCGATAAAAGCTAAAGGCGCAACCCTGCAAGTTCTTTCTTACATCCACTGATGGTGTAACGTCCTCCTCTAGAGGAAGCCACAGAGAGCCCTTCCAGAGCATAATTTGGGCCACTTTTTCTCCCTGGCCAGCCGTCTTGGAAGAGGTGAGAGAAGTCACACTTTGCCAGCATGTGTGAGCTATCTTATCGACGGCGTTATACCCATTTACACTGTTGGGTGGACAGAGGTAGGGAATTGAAGAAACTGGGTAGGTTAAATCACTTTAATATTTCTGTCATTTTTGTAAATTTATTATTCGTGTACAATTTGTCTTCACGTTAAATATTACGAATGTTGAAACCCATTTTGAAATGTTATTGCAAAAAAAAAAAGTATCACTTTTGCTTTGTAAATGTTTTTATATTTTCGTGACTGCAATGGTGTCCACAGATGAGCGAAAACGGAGTTAACTTCTCCTAAGTGTGTATAAATGTGCTGTAAAGCTCGAATCTACCATCAGCAGAGTTGTAAAAAGCCCATAAAAACACTTTAACAATCGTTAAATATTTGCTCGCTTTGTGATCTCAAGGTGGAAATGACCATCGGTGTTTACATGGAGGCTGGCTTCTTTATACCGACCGCTAATGCATTGAAACCAAACACTGTTTTTTTTTTACTGCAGGGAGGGTTTTCCCAACATTAATATTGATCGATTGATATGTAAATGTTGAGTTAAAGCTGCATAGCTCTCTTTTCAGAAGAAATCTGAGCACAAATGACGGCTTAACGAAGTGGCTTATCATGTGAAAAATAATAGCAGCCAAATACTCTTAAACGCATGTTTCGTAGAAACCTACCAGAAATTGTGCGTGATTTTATTAGACCAGGTTTTAAGTTTTGGTCAGCTGTTCTGATATACAGTACAAATAAAGCTGATACTACATTTGCTCTGCATTCTATTCTATTCTTGCATATGATGGCAATATGCCAATGTCGAGGTCTTCAAGCCATGACAGGGCTTCAGGAGAGAAATACAGTGATCCCTCGTTGATCGCGGTTAATGGGGACCGGAACCCCTCGCGAAAAGGTGAACATACGCGAAGTAGGATTGGCCCCCTAGGAATTTCCGTATATGTGTGTGTGGGTATCAGAATGTTTAAAATATGTATATTTATACTTAATATATATATTTTACTTAAATCTATTTAATTATAAAACCTTCATATTATACATTCACTCGCTCTCTCATACGATACGTATTATAGTGTTCTACACTCACCAATGACAGTAGTATCTTGAGACTTGACTCCAGTAATGACGACGACGACGATGACAATGACGATGACAATGACGACGATGACAGACCTGTGCAGTTCGATGAATGTGATGATGAATGATGATGGTGTTACTGCACAGGTATAATGAGGCCTTTAAATCAGTTCGAAAAATCCGCGATGCACTGAGGCCGCGAAACTTGAACCGCGAAGTGGCGAGGGATCACTGTAGTGCATTGTGATTGGAAAATGGATTTAACAATGGTAATCCCCGTTACTTATTCAGGTAAGACTCGATCCGCACTCGAATAAATTGAATATTTGGGAGAAATACATTGCTCTACTGCCACCTCCTGGCCAGCTCACAATCTCATGCCCGACACACCTGGTATGCCCTGGTGTCCTCCCTATAAATAACTAGGCTCGGGCCTCAAACATTTCTGAGACCTGCTGAAACCGGATGTATGCTGGGTTCCTTGGTCGTGTAACTGCGAAGTGTAACTTAAAAACCAGACAATGGCAGAAGGAAACGCTGCTGATATGTCTGGCCACAGAATACGTTTCTGTTCTTAGACACAGCTGATTGAGTAAATGTCCAGTATTTTTTTTGTGTGTGCCAGCACACTGTTCTAACCGTGCGATTGTGAACATAAACAAATCAAACGTTCATAATAATCATAAAAAAAGACACGCGTGAAATAACCCTATATGCTGTGGATGGAAAAGAACACCTCCGCTATTTACATAAGCACGGCTTTGCAGCTGGGCCGGAAAAAAAAAGCAAAGGCTGATTTTTTTTTCGCAACACACACACACAAGAGTTGTTGTGTTGGTTCCGCGCGTGAATAGTTAAGGGCACTGAAGCCAGCGGGCACGTTAGTGGCTCCAGATAAATCCGGCTGGCCCATTAAAAGGGAGGCCCTGTCGTCATGGTGCCAGGGGGTAAAGAGACTCTGGCAAGGCGGAGCCTCTTGGGGTCTTCGACGGACGCTGAGTCGCCGGCGAAGTCAGGGCCACGGCGTCCGTGTGGATTAGAAACAACGCCGTCCACCCGATCGCCTTCTGGTGGGGGGGGGGGGCAGAGTTTCTGCGGCTTTTCTTTTTCACACGTGTGTGCCACTGCTTCGGTGCCCTGGGCGCACGTGTCTCTCCAGGTTGGTTGCGATTGTGTCACGCGTGGGTCCACGTGCGCGCGCGTGCGTCTCTGTCTTGTCTCGCTGTGGGGGGTCACTCTGTGTCAGTGCGACACAGAGAGACGGGAGCGAGTGTCGTGTTATTAGCTTGCACTGTCATTTAATGTTTTAAAGGTCGATAATATCGGATTTCAGAAATTTAATGTTGCTTGCGTGAATTTGCGCTATTATTGGAGATGATTTATAACCAACGTTTAACTATTAAGAGGTATTAATAACAATGCAATTTGGTTGAAGGTGTAATTGTTGACTTGAAAATTGGTCGTTTTAAGCCTTCGTTCCTTTGGTGTCCGTAACTGACCCACCATCTGGGGAAGGCTGCGTCAGCTAGAGGCAATTCTGTGGTGGTCATCGTGTGGACATTCTGATTCACACCGTAGGAATGCGGAATTTCCACCACCGGCTCGGGACCACTTAGGGAGGATGAGCAAGGTTCAGTGGGGCTGGCTTTGAAAGTGGAGAAACGGTGACTTTGAAAGTGGAGAAACGGTGACTTTGAAGTCTACGTTTGGCATAGCCGCCGTCTTTATTGTCTTCGGCTTAACTGTTTATTTCTGAGATAAAGAGTGGGGAAATCCCATCAGCTCGTGGTTTTTAAAACAATTGTGCCTGCATAATTATTCCATTCATATCGTACGTGCCCCTCTCTACTCGTGCGTATGGGTCATTAGAATAACACCACGGGTGATCACTTTTGACACGAATGCTATTGCATGAGTTTATTACGAAACATAAATAAGGAATGATATTAAGCAGAGCGAATTTATCATCATTCTTACAGTTTATAATATTTACTCAAGTGAAAAAATTCAATATACAAAATGGTAAGCATAAACAACTATCAAAGCAATGTATCTATCTCATATACAGTACGTACGTCAATAGATGTGAGCTTATTGAAATGCAATGTATTTTTTCCGGAAGAATTTGTAAAAAATAAAATCTGTAACACTGATATAACAAGTCACGCAAAACATAAAATAGATATACTGTTGATATCCATCACACACTGTTGCTGTAACAACAGTAATAGTTTCATTGCAACTCACAACCACTGGGAAATTAAACAATCTGAATTGCCATGTATGCACTTTTTTGAACCGCAATTCGTACACAATCGTTGCTTCCTTTGTCTCTACAACAAACATCTCTTTAGTACCGTCGCTCATAGTGGCAAGTCGTATACACATTCATACATTTGTTAACATTAGTAACCCTTGGAGTGTACACGACCATCATACGCAGTTTTAACAACACGGTCACCAAAACCCGGAGACGCGCATTGTTGATTTCAGAGATCTAGGAGCCAGCTGCTTTGATGGTTATGAGTTTAACATTTTACGTTGTGGCAATGAGAACCACCGTCACATCTGATGGCCCTTCCATCGTAGTTCCCGTACAAAACGTGTGCTCGGCGTTTACATCATTTCCCACGCAGCGGTGTGCATGACGAGAAACTTAATTTGTCTAGATGCGAGTCATCCTGTCAATCACAGCAGAATTTTGTCGTACATAGGGCTCGTTCTAAACAGGAGGGACGCGTTAACGATGGTATCGATAATCGAATATGTATAAACTTTGTGACTGAACATGTTCATGGACAATCAGTATGTTCTAAACTGTCTTCTCATTCCGATATTTTTTTGTTCAGTTGCAAGTTTGGAAGAAAAAATATTTAACGTGAAGACAAATTTGATTGCCGTGTTGGGTATTTTTTGCGAAGTCTTGAGGTTGGGTTGGGGGCATGATAAAATAATTGTCCAATTCACTGCTGATTGAAGGCTTCCCCACAACATGTTTGTCATGGTTGTTGTTTGACTAGGGCCCTCACTACCCTGGTCATTGCAGGTTGATGAAGGGGAGCCAAGGCTGGCTCAGGTGTCGCCGCATCGCGAATGTTAAGCCTCGGGCCCGGGTATCAAACGTCTTCCGTCACATGGGCTATGAAGAGCAACTCTTCGAGATCCAGTTGTACGTGAATGCACTGCGCCACCACTCCGCTTGATTGTAAATCGGGAAATTTCCATAGACAAACACTGGTATCGCTGTAATACTCCACTCGGAGTGTGCGATTATTGCAAAATACGACTGTTGTGTTGTGGAATAATGAATCGGTGGTTGTCCTGTGGAAAGTCTCTCTGGAATTACCACTGCCAGCTCAGTGCCACTAATGGAGATTGGTGATGCCCCAGTGCTCGCATGAACATGGGGACATTGTCTTAGCTTGATTGTCGTATAATATCCGTGAAATAATTACTAAACTATAATATAGTAGTAGGTTTTACCCTTTTAAACTGGTACAAAACTGACACCTTTATTCAAGGCATCATGTTTGCAATAACCACAACACAAGTAGTCAAAAAAGCAAACAAAAAGAAGCAACTTTGATAATGATAATAATATGCACTGTCCTGTATTATCATTATCAGAGTTGCTTCTTTTTGTTTGCTTTTTTGACTACTTGTGTTGTGGTTATTGCAAACATGATGCCTTGAATAAAGGTGTCAGTTTTGTACCAGTTTAAAAGGGTAAAACCTACTACTATATTTTGCCACTGGTAAAAGAGATCTCATAGTGTAAACTATAATGTTTTTTTGTTATTTTACCAGGTAAGGCCCACTGAGCTATATAGCTATTTTTTAGAAGCGATCTGACCACGAATGACAGCAAAACGAAGTGACTTATCGCGTGGGAATTTATCGCAGCCAAATATTCTAAATGTGGAGGGGAAAACCGGAGGATCCAGAGAAAAATCCACGCGACCACGGGGAGAACATGCAAACTCCAAATATGCTGATGTCAGGGTCGAGATCCAATCCACGACTTCCTGTATACTAGGCGAGGTAGTTAACATTTCCCTACCGTGGTAACTGTAATACAAGGTAGAGGTACAGCCCTGCAATTGCTTGTTTGTGCCACTGCTGGTGGAAGGGCCTCTGCTAGAAATATCTTTAGAGTGCTGTTCTAGAGGGTATATTTTTTGGTGAACTCTTCCAAGCTTGCAATACGCCTTGGAATAGGTGGGAGTAACCCACACTTTCGGTAAAGTCACGTAGAAGGGAAATAATACAATAATAAAAATAAAACAATAAAATAATTATCACGACGTTTCGGCCACAATGCGAGCAGCCATCCTCAGGTGGAGAGCAGGTCTGTCGGGAAGACAGTGTCGCGAGAATTATTGTATTATGTTTTATTTATTTAATTTTATTATTTCCCTTCTACGTGACTTTACCGAAAGAACCAAGAAGATGAATCCCTGCAGTCACGAAAGCTTTCAATCGAAATCCTTTACATCATTCTGAAATTTAGTCGAGCACAATTATTACCGCACGCTATTATTATTATTACCATTACGTAATTAGTGCTCGTGAAGCCTTCTTCGCAGGCTGTCACGCCGCTCTGTTGCACAAGCGGCGCTTAGTCTCGCGTGGCTGGGCCGTGCTCGTGCCAAAGTGTTCGGTTTTTGGGGTCAAGAGTTCGCCAGGTCGATGACAATCCCCTGCCCCCCACACCACTCAACACTTGGAGAGGGCGATCTCGTGCACAGACATGAGTACACAAACCACGAAAACCATGGGGCACATTTGGAAAATCATTCTGTTGTAAGGGGGGGGGGGGGGGGGAGTCGCGTATCAGACTCGAGGTACAGTGAGACCTCGGTTCACGAACTTTATTCGTGAACTGACTCTGGTCGCGAACCGAATTGGTCGTGAACCGAGGCACATTTTCCCATAGGGTTCAATGTAAATCCGGTTAATCCGTTCTGACCTTTTTTTTTGGTTTTTGAAGAACAAAAATATTAAACAAATTACAATACACATTAGTACTGTACAGTATAGTAATGTATAAAGAGAGAACACTAACCTTGCTTGAGATGACTTCAGTAAGCACTCAAACGGGTGAACTGTACAATACAGTAAGTACAGTACAGTAGTACAGTACAGTACTGTATGTGCTAAAAAGCACACCAAAAAGCAAAAAGTCACTGAAAGTGTCTTCACAGTACTCACAGTACTTCTTTCTGTGTCTCTTCTTCTCTCCACGATCTTCCTACAGGAATTCACGACCATGTGACAGCCTGGAAATAGCATTAAAATGGCCGCGGCTCCTGTTCGTGAACAGAAGCGGAGTTCGTGAACCGGAGTATATTTTTATGAACTTTTCTGTTCGTGAACCGAGTTGTTCGTGAACAGAAGCGTTCGTGAACCGAGGTATCACTGTATATGCGGATACGTGGAATTGTCCGATATGTGAACGTCTGTTGAACACGACGTTTACCACCGTCGTACGCACAGATTTGTTACTAGACACAAGACTAAAGCGCAGACTCCTTTAAACGTTGCAAGCGGGCTTTAGGTACGTTGAACTTATTTCCCACCGTACGTAGCCAACCGTGTTAATGGGAGATGCGGTGGCAGGACAACAAACTAAACGCAGAAGGCAGTTCTCAAGGAATGAGTCGTTCTAAAGAAATGCGCCTGGGAAGTGAGCGAATGTACACGAGATGAAGAAACACCGTGTGAAAATGTCGGATTTTGGAACATTGATATAAAAATAAGCAATATAAAAAAAACTTTTTTTAAAAAACACGCTTTAATGAAATGTACCAGTAATGGAAGAACTCCACGACTCCAGGAAATGGCCCCGAAGCTTGCCATAACGTAAGGGGCTGTGGCCAATTACAGCCAACGTCAGTTGAGCGTGGACAATTAGAGCCAAGCCGAAACATAACATATAAAAAAGAATGTTTAAAAATATCTATTTTATTATTATTTATGATAGAATATAGTATTGTCATCAGTAAGACATAAGTATACCAAGTTTGCAGTCGATACCGCATTGGGAAGTGGGTTAAAATTGAGTTACAAGATTTTAGGATACGACAACAACAACAGACAGAGTGAGTTAATAGAAAGCGTGTAAAAATATTGTTTAAAAATGTATTTTTTATGATAGAATATAGTATTGTCATCAGTATAACATAAGTATACCAAGTTTGCAGTCGATACCGCATTGGGAAGTGGGTTAAAATTAAGTTAGAAGATTTGAGGATACAACAACGACAACAACAACAGACAGAGTGAGTTAAATGAAAGCGTGTAATAAAATTACATTTCACCTCGTGCACAAACACTGCACTGGGTGTGTGGGCGGTTACTTGGTCAGGGCGGATATGCGACGATCTGTGCTGTATCCTTAATCTTTCTATTGCGACCACTCACGACGAGTATCTGAAAGTCGGGTCTGTGAGATGCATACGCCGAATATTCACGCACAGTGGTACTGAACGTGTCAAACATGAAGCTAAATCTTGACTTCAAGCTTTCGTGACTGCAGGAATTCATATTCTTTGGGTCTTTCGGTAAAGTCACGTAGATAGGTTCAAAGAAAAATTACAAAAAACTACGACGTTTCGATCGCAACAGAGTCGGAAGACGAGCGCTTGTGTTGCGATCGAAACGCCGTAGTCCTTTGTTCTTTTTCTTTGAACCTATATACGTGACTTTACCGAAAGACCCAAAAAATATGAAACTAAAAGCTCTGAAAAAAACCTCCCATTCTTCTTTGCACTGCCGATGAAACGTGCTTAGGAATGACCATCGGTAACGTCACTTCTGTTTCTTAATATGTATTAAACAATACGTGTACATGTAACATTATATTCACCTGCAGGCAATGTTTTTTGCCAATGCGTAGTAGTATTTCCCGTGCCAATTTGATCCATTTTGCCAGTGTCGCAATGCAGAGTGGCTGAGCTCACCATGGCTAAAAGCACCAACGTCATGAGTGACAGCCTCTCTCTCTCTGGAGTGTTTACCTTCAGAACAATGAAGCTTTTCCACTGAGGTCACTTGGGGCGAGCATCATGTGCCGTGTCACTGCCGACGACGCTTCGCGTTGCCAATTCTCGCTTCAAATATCAGCGTCCTCGTTTGACCTTTTTAAAACAAGGACTTTTACAATTTTAGTGCCGATGAAATCGTTTATTTGGAAAGACATAACGGAGAGCGGTCTGCTTTGCCGAGAAAAAATAACGTCTGTCGGTCTAGGTACATTTTTCAATAGTGTTTCCAGTAGTGTCTGTTTCAGCAAGACAACTCTGGACCCGTTTTGACTTTAAAGTCTCATCAGCTGTGTGGGCAATTAAATGCTGCGGAGTTGCCTACTATTGGAGGCAAACCCACTCTGTGAACACTTGTTAAGCACATTCAGCACAACACAGCAATGGAAGTTGTTTGTTATATTTGTTCTATATTTTGGCCAAAGCACTGTATTATATATTTTGATCAATGCACCATCTGCGATGGGTTTGACATTCTGAGGTTAATTATTAATGTTGGTCGAGAAGGCTCATTCATAACCTGATGGTCCTAAATGTTCTTTTTATCTGTTGGTGAAACAGATATTTTTTTTGTCTGTTTCTTGACTCGTTAATACCTGCAGTCCAACAAGATTGTGCATAAAAAAACATGTTGGAAAGTGTTACTGATTAATGTGTTCAGTGTTTTGTGTGTTATTGTTAGCAGTGTGGAAGGAATGACAACTGCTGTAAACATCCTGTTTGGTGGGTGAAGTGTGTGTGGTCTTCATTGTGTCCCTGTGAAGGCCGTGTCTAAATACTGCGTGGGGCACATTTTGTGAATGTGTCACTGTGAATGTTCGTGCGTTCATTTTTTAAATGTAGTTCCCCGCTGAGCAGCCAATATGTCCCCTTTGGGAACATGCAAACATATTGCAATTCCGAATATGTTTTAAATATACAAGTATTACAACTGAACAAATAGATGTCGCATATGCATGCACTCTAGTTTAATGGTATGTGCCCTGGATCAGCTTCATTTACATTTTGCTCATTACCGTCAAGCAACCAACTCCGCTATTATTTATTGTAAATTATATATATATTTAGTAACTGCTGTGAATCTTAATTATGTTTCTCGCTCATGTATTTGTGTGCATGTTTTTCTGCGCGTGTGTGTTTACGTGGGGAGCAGGAGCGCAGCGTTTAGTGCACTCTCGGCCAACACCAGTGACAATTATCTTAAACCAGTCTTGGGCCTCCCCTAGGTCGACTCAGCCTCAAATGAGTACCTGGTGTGGTGTGTAAGCATCGCTACTGGGGAGACAATGCCGGGGGGCGTAGTGCTGGTCACCCACCTCCTTGTGTACCAGAATCAGAATATGTATTTATGCCAGAGGTCGCAAACGGGTTTTGATTCCTTACCCGTACCCGGCCGCACCAGGGTCGCAAACGGCTACCCGTACCCGTACCCGGCCGGGTACGGGTAGCCGGGTATCGGGTAGGGTACGGGTATCGGGTACCCGGTTGCGACCTCTGATTTATGCTCGCTAACGGCGATTGCCCCAAACCGTCTGTTATAGGATATACGGGGGGATCTTGGTCTTTGTGTGTTTACGTGAACGTGCATAAGCTGTAGGCTTTGTGTTTTCACATTTCCCTCAACTAAAGCAAGTGTAGTGAATCATAACGAGCATGAATGAGTATGTACTCGCATGTTAACAACCACGCTATAGCGCATGCACAACTTTGCACAATTAAATTGGATTAGACCCAACACGGGTGTTCGTTTCAATGCCGTAGAGAGGACACACACTATTACATCTCCCCCCCGTGCAAAGCTTTGCACGAGCTGCTGCCATGCATCATGTAAAGCAGAGTTTTATTTTGTTCACTGAAACGACCCCCCCCCCCCCGCCCAGTTGATGCTGGTTTCTCTGTCCGAGCACTGAATGAATTTCACGGGTCAGTGGCACTTAAAAGCTCTCAGTATTGAGCGGCGTTGCAACGCTGTCTTGTAGTGGAGGATGCCTCTCTGTTACGCCTGGATAGGTTATGCCAGTTCAGGCCAAGGTCATGGTCAACAATTGCAAACGCTGCACGTTAGGTCTCCAGGAACTTCACACCGAGGTTGAGATGATGCAATACCGGATTGCTTCTGTGTTGTGTCCATTGGCTGTCAGACCACAACGTCACCAACAAACACCGTCTACTCCACGTGACAAGGTGCTATGGAGAGTAAGAAACATTCCGAGTCGTCTCCCCCCCCCCCGGTGTTAACAAAGTTCGACAAATATCTGCAACACGCACAGCAGGTTATGAGATGCACATCCAATGGCTGCTTTGAATTACGAGGTAAAAGTGCGTCTTTTTATTTAGAAAATATGACAAATCCCTTGATTTAGAGATAGATAGACCGAGTTCATTACGAAACTGTGTGAAAGCCCATCGTGTATATATTGCTAGGGATACATTGGGAAAATACAAGCACCATAATTGGTCATTTAATTTTAATTTCCATCGAGACGCTGCTCATAATTATTTTCCATATGTTAAGAACAATAATATCTGAATTTTAATTTTAAAATTTTTAATGTATGAACAGTAAACGTGAATACAGTATAATAAAAAGGCAATATGGAGAAATTCAGCTGGAATTAAATCGATGTGGTTCAGGAAGCATGTTAATTTACTGACTGAATAAAAATACAATGCTGGATGTCGCAAACGGCTTTGTTGTAAAATTTCTAAGTTCGGGTAACTGATGTGTTATCATAAAAAGTAACATTTTGGGAAGGTCTCATGTCACTTGATTTCATAGTCCTGTAAACTTCTGAAAGGCATTCTAGTTCCATCCAAAGAAAATTATAGATATTTTTTTTTACGTCTAAACGTCAGCAGGCAGACAACACACAGATGCACACGTTTAAAAAAATCGACATTAACATAAAACCACTGATTTAAAGCTTTCGTGACTGCAGGGATTCATCTTCTTGGTTCTTTTGGTAAAGTCACGGAGAAGGTAAATAATAAAGTAATAAAAAATAATAATAATAAAAAATTATTATGTTTTATTAATAAAATTGTATAATATTTTATTTTTGTTATTTTATTATTTCCCTTCTACGTGATTTTACCGAAAGATTTGTTATATTTTTATTATTTTATTATTTCCCTTCTATGTGACTTTACCGAAAGAACCAAGAAGATAAAACCACTAGTTGCTGGGCACGAATCCCAAACTGGACGAGACGCTATTGTCCACCGTATTCTTTATATTGTCGCTCACGCTCGTGAAGGCTGACAGACGCGGCGTGGCTAAAGCAGTCGTTTTCTTTTGACATTCGCCGCCCCACCGTTATCTCACTCCTCTGCGATTGGCACTGACCTTGCAGCCCGCCCGCCACCTTTTTCTCCCCTTTGGTTATCCTCTGCTTTCAACCTGGGTGCTCCCATCACTCCGGGATTACAAGTGCCAGCATCCTGGCCGTCGTCCCGGTGTGCGCGCGCACACACAATCATCGGTCGGTCGTTGTGTTATGCAACCCGGTGCATTGCTGGGTCAGCCATCGTGGGCCCCGTTGCAGCTGCAGTGCAGTGGCCGCCACCTCCGCTCCCAAGTCGAAGCGGTTGGACGGCGTTATAAGCATCGTTTTAATCTGTTCCTTGTTGCCCATGTTGTTGTTGTCGTTGTGTTTTTTTTAGCGGTGAGGATGCCGGCTCAGAGGGGGCCGGTGTCTGGGGCTGAAGGGGCAGTCCCTCACACGCGCATCGCCGATGAAAACGCAGTGCAGGTAAAACCGCAACGAGCGACGCGGGATGTTGATAAAGGACTAAAAAGAAAATGAATTGGTGCTACTTTCTGCTAGGGTGTGCACAAGCGGGCCGCGAATGTGCTTGAAGGCATTGTTGGATTTGATTCGATAGTCTAAGGTCAAAATTGTTTCCCTGAATCAAATTACCATTTTGGGGTGGTGGTGCTCCTCTGCGTTGGTGGCTGCACATCGTGGTGTAAATTCCATGTTGTCGTGGCAGGGGTCACGGTAAACATAGGGTGACTTCTGTTTAACACGTAGGCTTTCGTGACCAATATTATTCATAATCAACGTTTTTGGGTTGCACCTGATGAGTTGATGAGTTAATGATGACGTCACCCTGTTGCTGCTCTATATAAGAACGGGAGACTGGAGCAGAGCCTCACCATTGTGGCGAATTGCCCGATGATGCTGGATGCAATTACCAGCGAAACGTCGTACTCAAAAAATTGTAAATGTTGTGGTTTCATGCTTCAACACACCGGTGGGCTAAAGCAGTGAACTATTTGTCTTTTGTCAACGTGACACTTTTTTACTGATTGGCCGTGTCGGGTGGTGGAGGGTGACTTCTGTTGACATCCCACATCGGTTCCCATTTTAACGACTCTGGAGGGATTGTGGGACATGGACATTTCTAAACCGGCAAATGAGCTCACAATCTTCCCACTGCAAGCCATACACTCTCAGAGCTCAACGTCGATTGCAATCAGCAAAACTGTCCTGAGTGTATTATCATTTAATTTACATGCTACAGTTTACATTTAATGTGGACACAAACGGTGAACACTCGGGTAGATTCCATGGAAATGCACACACTTTTGTATGGCACACAAATACGTAGGTAAATGTAGATATTTGCAGCCCTTTGTCAATCCACTGCTGGATGGAGCCCTCCTCATGCTATGTTGGTCATGGGGTTTATTTGAATGAACGATATTGGTTGTCTGCGTGGGTTGATGACGAAGGTGGGAGACCAGGACACGTTCAGACAGGGATCACCACTGATGTTGGCGCAATGCACGAACCACTGTGCCACCGCTGCACTTGTATGCATGCGTAAGTAGTGTAAATACTTACGTAGATTGTGTATGTAAGTTAATGCGTAGATACACAAATCTCCATATATATTAAAGGCAAAGTTGTGATTATGTGTGTCTGTTCAAAATGTTTAGCGTACTTCCCGACATGCAACAAACTTGAAATTTGCCATGTGGGTACTTTCCAGACTGTACACCATGCAAACATTAGAAAAATACACTTCTTGGGGGGGGGAGCTCAATAATGCATATATTTTTTGCACGGCAAGTGAGCTGTGACGTCAAATCTGTCACGTGACCCGCGCATGCAGAAGCGTAACGCATTGTAGTGTAGCGGGTAGCGCGCTGCGCTCCGAACCCGGCGACCAGAGTTCGATTCCCACTCACGGCCACCACCGGTGACGATTATTTAAACCGGTCCTGGGTCCTCCCCTAGGTCGACTCAGCCTCAAACGGGTAACTGGTGTGGTGTGTGACCATCGCTACTGGGGAGACAAAGGCGGCCAGGCGTGGTGAATCCAAGTCCTGGGCGATGCCGGGTAGTAAAGCTCGTGTAGTATAAAGAGGACCGACGAACCGACTGCCAAAGACTACAATACAGTACGGTTCTCAGCACAGAATACATACAGCAAGTACTGTTTTGTGTATTGGTTCAGAAAGTTAAACACACACACATACAACACACACTGATACATTTAATACGTATGCACTTAAACACGGGGTGTTAATTTTTTTGTTACATTTGCATTAAATTATCTGCGAGCGCAGACCATGGCTCCCTCTGTTAGTCGAGCTGATGTTTTACTGTCGACTTGCAACTTATGATTATCATTGGCAGGCCACGGGAATGGATAAAATGAATGTAAAAGGGAAGAGAGTAGACAAAGAATGGGAAATGAGAGGAAAATAATGGAGAAGAATTGAGAAATGGGAGCAAAGGGTCAGGAGAGATGAGGATTGGGAGGAAGAGGCTTGCAGGGCTTCTGCTGCTGCTGCACGGAGCGGAGTGTGTTTTCACAATGGGCGGTGGGGAAAGGGGAGGGATTCAGAGTGGGGTTGGCCACACAGAAGTCACATCATTTACCGGAGGCTTGAGCTGGTTTACATATATTTGTTGATTATGTTGAACTTCTTTCGCACTCTACATAGCCAACCGTGCCAATCGGAGGTGTTGGCGAAGGACAACAAACTAAACACATCAAGCAGTTGTAAAGAAATTAGTTTTTTTAATGTTTACTTGCATTATTGTATTCAACGGTGGCTATCAATGTCCATATTTCGTAATCCTTGTTGATGTTTTCATAATTTTTAAAAAACCTATACATTTAATTACTGAAGTACAGTGCATTCTTCCACTATCTATTTTATTTTACTACCAAAAACGTAGATAATATTCTAAACATTTTAGTCAAAATTACCTTACAACAAATATATGTACACGTATATGTTTAACTTATGGGGCGCACATTTTTAATGTATGTTTTCGCAATAGAAACGTTTTATAGATTGCCCTATTTAATGAAAAATAGAAAACGTTAATTGTAATATAATCAGCGCAATGCGATTGTATTATTTATTTCATGTCCCGTCGTGTTCATTTAACAAGCAATGCATACTTAAAGGGGTACTATTTGATTTAAATCTTTCGTGACTGCAGGGATTCATATTCTTGGTTCTTTCGGTAAAGTCACCACGTAGAAGGGAAACAATAAAATAATAATGGAGGGTGGGTGTCCACACCTGATGATGATTGCTTGTGTTGCAGTCGAAACGTCGTGAGAATGTTTTTGTTTTATATTTTTATTATTTTATTGTTTCCCTTCTACGTGACTCTACCGAAAGAAACAAGAATATGGGGTATTATTTATTTAATTAGATTTTTAAAAATCGCTATCAGTTTTTGCCCTTTGCTATCACGTGTAAGTACAATTCCAAGTATTCTCACATAGAATTGCCTTCATCCTTACTGCCCGATTGGACACGTCACCTCCCTATTGCCTGTTGTTTGCATTGATTTGTAATCTATGCAAATTTTACATTCGGACTAAGGGAGTGAACAAAACTACAAACAACTCAGAAAAATAAACAAAGGCAGAGCTATTAAAAGGCTGCTGCTAAAGCTGTATTTATTAAATATTTTTGAACTGGATCAACATCGAACATAATAGCTTCATTTTCAGATTTAACTTACAATTGTTTAAATCATTTAACAGTGTTTAAGGTACGGCATCTTAAGACTGCATTGAAATTACATGATATTAATTTTATTTGTTTTTGTTCAAAAATAATGTAATGCAAGTCACTGCAAACGGGCCTATCGTTTGTGTACTCTGATGTACTGTGCTGCATCTACCACAGCGAATGTTAGTCGACTGCTGTGCCGTACAAAGACATTCGAACTCAAAGAGAAAAGAGACATGTGGCTGGTTTGAAATGTACTACGATAATGAGCCAAGAATGTCTGTGTGTCCCGCGTGTGACGTCACTCCACGTCGGCTAGCCCCCCTCATTAATAATCATAAACAGGTGACGTCCTCCACATGGACCCCCCCCCCCCTCATTAATAATCATGAGCGGGTGACGTCACTCTGCATGGAGATCCCCCCTCTCATTAATAATCATGAACAGGTGACGCCTTCCAATTGGACACTCACCTGCCATTAATAATAATTAGCGTCTGACGTCACTCCAAATGGGGGGGGGGGGGGGGCGAGGCGCCTCCTCCCCCCTCCACAGCGTCAACTTACAACCCTCACTACAAAGGCAGAACCCTCACATCACGTGATCTCCGTAACGCTATTGAGACATAGAAGTAAAAAGGACGTCGTGATGAACAAGGGATTATAACCTTAAAATGAAATAAGTCTGTGTCACTGCGCCCTTACAAATTCTACACGCATTAATGCAATTAATATCAGGCGCGGTCTGCTTTTCGCTTGCAAGTTTCAGATTTGCTGCAATACACCCGTCATTGGACGGGCAAAAGGCTAGTTTAAAATACTCTTCGATGTGCTGTGTATAAGTACATTTAAATCTGATGATATTTAAACAATTTTGTTGCAAACGGCTGATAAAGTTTTGGATTATTGAATGGTCTTGTGGTACGTTTTGCAAATGAAGAGTGCTGCAGGGATACTCTAAGGAATAAGAATAGGTTGTAAAATGTCTTTGTGATGCTTTTGGAAATTGAAAATAATTACCAGCACCCTGTCCTGTGGGACTATCTCCCACCACTCCCAGGCATATTCGGATGTTTATGTATGACTCCATAGCATTTCTTAAAGAAGAGATGTGTTTGAAGAATATTTGTTTTAATGGAAAATAATGCCATTGCTTTTCAAAAAGCAACCTTAGCACACTTCACTATTTACTTTTGGAGGTTTTTTGTTTTTCAAAGCCAAAAGGCAAAAGCTCCGCTGGGAAAATGAGGCAACGCTCGTCTTGGTTGGTGGCTCTGGACCAGTGGTGAAATTTCCACATTGCCATGATTGAGGTAAAGTCTGTCAATAGGATGGCCGCTTGTATTAGGGCGCCATGGGGATACGATGTTAACTACCTCGCCTGGTATACAGGAGTGCGTGGGTTCGACCCCAATCCTGACGCCTGCTGCTGTATATCTGGAGTTTGTGTGTCTCTCACTCTCTCATCATCATCACGGTGGCTATGAGATGTTAACTACCTCGCCTGGTATATAGGAGGACATGGGTTCGACCCCGATCCTGACGCCTGCTGCTGCTGAATATTTTGAGTTTGCGTGTCTCTCACTCTCTCATCATCATCACAGTGGCTATGAGATGTTAACTACCTCGCCTGGTATACAGGAGTGCGTGGGTTCGACCCTGACCCTGACGCCTGCTGCTGCTGTATATTTGGAGTTTGCGTGTCTCTCACCCCGTGGCCGCGAGGATTGTTCTCTGGGTCCTCTGGTTTTTCCCCCTCCAC